AGGGACAGAACGTGCGACTGCGGGTTTTTTCAAGCTCTGAAGTATCCATGCTCTCATGTGATAGCAGCTTGCTCGCATACACGTCAAGACTATAACCATTTTGTAGATCACGTATACCTACTATCTGAAGTTTTTAAGGTATACGAATTTGAGTTTCCCCCCCCATAGATAATGACAAAGACCCTGATGAGGTTCAAGATTGGCTTTCGATTGTACCAAATCCGATTTATTGAGGAAGCGTGGTCGTCCAAAATCCAATCGAATTTATTGCGATATGGATATTCGAGAAAGATCTAGATAAGACAGAATATGTGGCCATTGTAGGAACCCAGGACACACTAGAAAAACATGTCCACTTCTGTTGTCATTAAGTAACAATTGATGAGGAAATGATGTATTTGTTTATCAAATAATAATTCTTGTACTTTAATTTACATTTACTTCAAGTATGTCATTCGATAATCGCTGATGAAGATTAAAAAAACGAACACAATCATTAAATTTTATCAAACTAATAACAATTTGGTATTTAAATACAACAAACTTATAATAAGAATTAAATGGTAAATGATAACCAAATTACAATAACTGATATTAAATGGTAATAAACAAAATTAACTGAAATATATTAAAAAAAAAGTCCAACAAATTTAACAAAATAAAGTAAGTATTAAATGAGAAATAATAAAAAAAACTTACAATTAAACAAAATAAAGTAAATACAAGTATAATAAAAAATATATCGATGCCTGCGTCGCGAATGTCTTCTATAGGGCGGTGGCTGTCGGTCTCAAGGAGGATTTCTTCGTATCACTGGTTTTGACTCCTCGCTGTCATCGTCGTCGTCGTCGTCGTCACCATTGTCATCGTCGTTATCGTCGTTGTCTTCATCCTGAGCATGTACATTAGGTTGATGAGGAGTTGATGACGATGAAGCACCTCCATAGAATAAGGACCCTGGAGGTGTATGACTGACTATCCCACCGGCCTGTGAAAACTAGGAAAACTGGGAAAACCCAGTCATCGTTGAGTGTGAAAACTGTACAGGAGGTATTTGTGCTACGGCCATGGGTGATGAGGCTGAACCCGCCAAATATCCAGCATATGAACCCCAAGTCAGATTTGCAAACATAGACCCATAATAGCCTCCAGGAGGGGTCATCTGTGGCGGTGGCGAGGTCATAAAACCAGGTGAAGGCGGCGGCGGCGACATCTGGTAATGGAAAGGCGATGGTGGCATCATATATGGCTGCGGCATCATATATGGCTGTGGTGGCTGTTGGGAAGGTCCTGATGGTGCAGCTGAGGATGAACCGGAAGCACCTGCTCTCTGTCCACGAGTCGGGGGACGATAGTGTTGTGCCGGTGAACGTCTCTATCGACGTCGTGGAAAGGTCTGCCCTCGTGCATCCTCGGGAAGTAGAAACGGTTTCCCGTTTCTGTTGAACCACTCATAATAATCCTCAGCATACATCAAGAGGTCATCAAAAATGGGCTCTCTACGGGGAAGGCGTCGATGTCGATCCTCCCACAACACGACCTACCCATGATGCCTCACCAGCCAATCTGTATTTGTCTTACCGCGTCTATCTAAGCTATGCAACTCATCCATATTGCGAGGTGCTTCCGGAATTGGTTGAAAACAACCAAACTGCTGGAGCACGTGATCAGTGGAGTGCTACTCGACGGTCGCATAACAGATCAGAGGGATCATCGCCATCCAAACATCTGATGGACCCCTCAACTCAGGTGGGATCATCGCCCTCACATCATCAGTAGAATATGACACCCATTCAAACTAAAAAAAATAATATATAATTTTTATCACAATAATAATCTAATTATATAACTATAATCTAAAATCGATTTTTAAATATTAAAATTCATACTTGTGTGCCAGCCTTCTGATCGATTAACACCCTAATTTTTTCTAAATCATCAGGTAGCTCCTGATGATTTTTCCTATCAGTAGACCACCTATTCAAGAAAAAAAATTTGTTATACACTGTATAAAATTATTAATATAAAAAATCATTTTTATAATTACCTCAGAAGTAGTGGAAATACGAATGGGTTCTTCACAACGGAACATAAAAAGGGCAATCGATACCATGCCCAAGACTGCAGCATCAAGAGACATCCGCCAATAGCATTACGTCTGTAGTCAGTGGCTCCACACATCTCCCTGTACAGCAAAGCCAAAACTGCCGAGCCCCAACTGAATGATCAGGCGAGACGAAAGTCGCTAAGATGTCGCAACCACATGCAGTAAACTAGGTTATGCGATTTGTCCGGCATCAGCAACCCTCCTATCAGCTGCAGTATGCATGCTCGTGCATACATCTTAACCTCATCCTCAGAGGCGTCTGCGCTCAACTCCCGAAAATTGGCATCTAACCAATTTGACGGTATCATACCTCCGATAAAATTTTCCGGGACACGTCCTAGACTATCCTGACACAAAGTAGTCCAAGAACCGGAAGCTATCCCCGATATCATATCTCCATCCACCAGAAGCCCCAGGTGCATAGAAACATCCTCAAGCGTGATCGTGTACTCTCCGCACGAAAGATGGAATGTATGGGTCTCCGGCCTCCACCGCTCTACTAAGGCAGAAATCAGGTCTGTCTCTATTTTACAGTGACCCTGATATCTACCTATATAACCGAATCTAGCCTCTACTAAGTACGGAAAGACACGGTTGGGTATCACTAACTTAAGATTCCTAATAAAAGGATCTAATACACGGTCCTTCTCCTAAAAATAAATAATTACAAAAATTAATTCTTAATCTAATAATTATGCATTAAATAAATCAACTAATTATTACTAATAATTTAAATTAAATTAAAACGTTAAAATGTTACCGTATGAGCAAAGTGTCGAGATATTTAATTCTTAACTAATAATCATGCATTAAATAAATCAACTAAATATTACTAATAATTTAAATTAAATTGAAACGTTAAAATGTTACCGTATCAGTAAAGTGTAGAGATATATGATTTCCATCCGAGCGAAGTAGACTGCCTTCCATTATATATCTGCAAAAGAATTATATTAGTAAAATATTAAATAAATTAAATACATAATATTAAAAATATTATAAAATATACCTTAAAAAGATAGAGTATTTGAGAGAAATTTAGAGAATTTGAGAGAATTTGGTGTTATAAAAGTGATTGAGGATGGGGGTATTTATAGGGAGGATGAGGACGTGAAGGGTCAGTTATTTAGGGGTATAGCGCGCCCCCTGCACCGCGCTATACCCCACGTGTCAGATACCCAAGTATAGCGCGGATTAGGGTGCGCGCTATACCCATGTGGCGCCAGATCACCGTATATCGCTGGGCAGGGGGCGCACTATACCCATGTGGCGCCAAATCAGTGTATAGCGCGGTTCAGGGGCGCGCTTTACTGCTACAGGTGTTAGATCGAGAAATATAATCTGACCGGTATTAGATCGAGAAATATAATCTGACCGGTGTTAGATCGGTAAATATACCGATCACCGATGATTTATTGGGAAAATTGTCTGAAATTTTTGCTTTTAATTAATGTAACCAGGAAACCCTAATCTAATACCTACTTTCATTTTGTGGATCACAATCAATTTAGAGAATCTTATGGAATTTTTTTGACAACATCTTATGGAATTTTAAAGAAAGAAATTGAATTATAAAAATTTTATAGGTCAATTATTTAATTATATTGTGATTGATAAAATTTATTCTTTAAAAAATTATATATTAACATTTAGGTCATAAAAACCCATCATTTTCTCAACATACTTTCTTTTTTAAATTCGAATCATAATAGAAATATCAAATTCGAACCACGTATTTTAGATTTTTTAATATATTTTTTATTAAAATCATTTGTAGGTTTACCTAAGTAGAATATTTGGCGGAATGCATGGTTTTCAGAATCGAACCGATCAGCGAACCGGTGATCGGTTATACTATCGGTTCACTGGTTCAATCGGTCAGACTGATCGGAAGAATCGGACGATGTCATAATTAATTAATTATTTAAAAAATTAAATAAAAATATAAAAAAAACATTTAATAAAAACAATTTTTTATATCACAAGTCATATTCAAAGCAAGTTATAACATATATAAGTTAAAAACCATAAAATCAAGTGAAACAAAATGATTCAAATCAACTACAACAAAATATTTAAGGTAAAACAAATTAAATAATAAATATAATTATATAATTATTATCAAAAAATAAATTTGGGGCTAAAAAAATCATAACAAACGATGTCGTTTGGTTTAATTTTTTAAAACAAAAAACTCACATGACTAAGAAATATAGAAGAGCATCACAAAAGTTTAAAGAGTAAAAATATGAAAACAAAACAATCCTACATGGCTAAAAAACATAGAAGAACTTCCCAACTGACTTCTATAAATAATAGAGGTAATTTGGCATTCAAAATCATGGAGTTTTTTGGTGAGCACAGAGCAAACTATTCTTTCTCTTCAATCGAGCTCGAATTTCTGGCTTCAATCGAGTTTCTAATTTTTTTTTTTGAGTTCGAGCCTTTTTGAGTTCAAGTTTTAATATTATATTTCAAGTTCGAGTTGAACTTAATAATTTTTAGCTTGTGAGTTTTTGAGTCGAGTTGAGCTTACTTTTAAAGTTTTCGAGTTCAGCTCGGCTCGTTTAACAAACGACGTCGTTTGATTTAATTTTTTTTAGGAAAAAAAACAGAACCGATTTTCAATTGATTCAACGGTTCACAGCTGGTTCAACGGTTACTTCAGGTTCACTAGTAACTGTTTAACCGGTGTAAAATGAATTGGACCAGACAACAATTCTAGATTGAATCGGCCGATCCGATTTTCAAAACACTGGTGGAATGATGGAAGGTAAAAAAGAAATAGGAAGAAAAAAAGAACTACTTAGTCCTACTCAACTCTATAAATAAACAGTGTTGCTTCTTAGCCCATTCACTTCCTTAGCATTCATCACTGATTACTAAGAGAGAGAAAAGAAACAAATAAAGAAAAGGAAAGAAGAAAGGAGGAAGAAGAAGAAAGAAGATCAAATGGATAAGCAAGAAGATCGAACGGCTCTTATCTCCCCATTATCTCAAATTGCACCTCAACAAGGTAACTTATTTTTGTCGAATTATTTATATATATAATTGTGTTAGCATATTTTTAAATATAGATATCCGGATATATGCCCGGTAAATGAAGCTTAAGTTAACCCAAGCTTATTTTTTTGATGATGATCAGAAAAAGCGAAGCCCCGACGGCGGCGGAAGAAGAACAAAGGAGGAGTAAACAGCCTTTCAGGTTTTAGAAAAAGGAAACTCACCCAGGAACAAGTTGACGTTCTCGAACTTAATTTTGGCAACGAACATAAACTGGAGTCTGAGAAGAAAGACCGCCTTGCTTCCGAACTCGGACTCGATCCTCGTCAGGTTGCAGTTTGGTTCCAAAACCGCCGTGTTCGGTGGAAGAACAAGAAGATAGGGCAAGAGTTCAGCAAGCTGCAGTCGGCCCACGACGGCGTTGTCCTCGAGAAATGCCGTCTTGAATCAGAGGTACTATAGAATATATCACAAATTAGTGAAATTACAAGTTAGAAGTTCATGAAATTTATTTTAACCTTAATTAATTGTAGGTTATCAAGCTTAAAGAGAAGCTGTGTGAAGCGGAGAAGGAAATCCAACGGCTGGGAGAGCGAGCAGATGGGGGAGCGAGTAACAGTCCAATCTCATCTCTAACAATGGAAGCCATGGATACACATTTACTGGGTGAATTTGGAGGATATGAAGAAGCTTTCTACATAGCAGACAACAGTTACAATAATCCCGGAATGGAGTGGATGAATCTGTACATGTAATTAAGTAGGAGGTCCCGTTTTTTGCAATTTTGTGCAATTTAATCCTTAATATCCTTGCTTCAATGTTGACCCCATCATATATTAGAAAATGTATTAAATAATTTGTCTGTTAACTTGAATGGCTTTCGAGTGAAGTTTGTTCGTAACTATACCACTGCTATAAAATATTCAGTAATAACAAATAAAGAAAATAAGTGAAATCCAAATTTAATTCTTAAATTTTGCTCGATATAACAAAGAGTAAAACGTTCAATAATATAACATAATAGAATAAAGTTGGGGTATACGAGCAAAGATGAAGCAAAGGGTGGCATGACACTTGTCACCACCCCCGGCCCAATAGGATACGTACACAGGAACATTAGATCTCGTCCCCAAGATTCCCAGGATAAAGATTGAATGTTTATAGCAAGATTCTGAGGATGATAATGGTATTGTTTGCTGATAAAAAAAAGGAGCAGAAAATGAAAGAAGAAAAGGTATTATATTAATAAAATATACATTATAGTTGTATTTAACATTAATAAATTAAGAAGTGTTCATGGATTTATTAAATATTAATAAAATACATAATTTAGGAGCTGAGTTTTCTGATCTCTGAATCAACATAGCGTGAAAAGAGCAAATATAAACTTCGTCGTTACGAAGAATGCATATTAAAAGAAGAATGTAAGATATATTGTAACGCCTCGAATTTTGGGTTAATAGTTCAAGTTGACCCGATACCTATAAATCGAGCCCAATAGAATATTTAAAATTGTTTGAACCAAGTTGAGTTGAGTTTGGATTTGGGATAGGCCCAATTTGTTAAAAGAGTGGGATCATTTTTAATAGTAGAGTAGAAGAAAAGGACTAAAAGTGAAATTAACCCATGACTCAAAACAAAAGTTCACTTTCTTTAAATCAAGGATGATTTCACGTACACCAAAATTCACCAAACTTCCTCTTCCTCTTCTCTTCATCTTTTTTTTATTTTTCTTCCTCTCCGAAGTGAAGCAAAGGTCAAAACTTTAGGAATTTCAAGTTTTGTTTAGCTCAACAAAGATAATATTGTAAATCCTCACCCTCCAAGTTTCGATTTAAACACCCAATCTCAAGTTTTAGTTATGTATTCATAAAATGGGTTTTAGGGAATCAAGTGATTTTAGTCCATTTTTAGTGGATTTAAGTTATAGAAAGTGTTTTAACTCTAATCTAAGCCCTCAGATGAATTAGTCATTCAAAAGAGGTGGGAGAGAGCTCAAAAGCTAAGAGAAAAGAAAAAGTGAATCTTAGTTGATTTGGGAGAGATTTTAGCAGCTAAGGAAGCAAGGTAACACATTCACAACTTCATCGTATCATTTGTGGGTCATATAAATGCATTATAACTTAAGAGTTGAATTATGAAGTATGTTGAATATTCTTATAATATAATCCATGTTTTAAAGCCTTATTTATGACACTCTTCCTTTCCCTTCCAATGTAGGCCAATACTGCCCATTGCAATTTCACAAGTCTCATCGTTATCTCCTACCTAGAACAACAGTGGCGAACATTTTGGTTAAACCTCCTCCCTTAAGTACTTTAAGACTTTTGTATTCGGACAACCGCGTTAAAGAAATACTCATTTAATTTTTTTTATTAAGCAGAGAGGTATTTAAGTTTTCGAAGTAAATATCATGATTTGAATTTACACAAGGTATAATAATATAAGTATCCTTATTACTCAATCAATTAATAAATATCTCTATCGATTTTTTTAATATCATATTTAAAACATAAAATTTTAATAGTAATCAACACTATATAAATAATAAATATTTGTACTACATATATAATATTTTAGTGAAAAAAGAATAATATTAGTATTTAACTTTAGAGTACAAATAACTTGAATGAAAAAAAGGTGACAAATTAAATTAGTGTGAAGTATCCCATCGGCCAAAACATTTAAATGCATGCATTTTCCCCAAGCAGCCTGCATCATCTCTATTTAAACATTCATAATATAAATAGAACAAAAGTACTTACATTTAAAAATGAATCATTTGATCAATTCAATAATTTTTATAATATCGATATAAATTTTCTACAATGCATTATATTTTAATTTGTAGAGACAATAATATTCAATGATCCGGGTCATTTACATGGCCATCATGGGATGTATGGTTAGCATCCATATTATTTTACATTATTGTGTCTAAGAAAGTAAGAAACCCCTATGATAAAACAGTTTTAGCATGGCCATGTAAATGACCCATGATGGGTCCTTTAATGCTAGTCGTGTCTCCTTCACGATTTTGATAGTACACGCATATATAACACACCATTATCATCATCATCGTAATTAAATAAATAAATAAATAAATAAATAAATAGAGAAACATAAGGGACTCTGAAGAACAAGATTGATCAGTCGGTGAGCTTACATATACGAAGAGCATCTACTCCATTCCGTATGCTTAAAAAACACCTCTTTATCCAGATGGCAGCACAACAATTTCCATGCTGGACACAGTTACTTTGTCAAATATTTTACTTTCTTTTAAAAATTAATTAAATTTGGTCGTTTGAGTTTGAGTGTTATTATTCCTAGAGATTATATGTTCTAGCAATGACGTTTGTAGGGTGAATGTGCGTTATCAATGATTAAAAAATATTATAAATAAATACTACCTTGTAATCTATTTGGACCGTTAAAAACTGTAAAAACTCGTATGTGAAGTAGAGATGTTAACTTCTCTTTTTATAAAGTAGAGGGATGAAACATAGAATTAGACCCAAAACCTAGTATATATCATTTTAGAATCAAAGGCTCGAAGCTTTTGATTGATTACTGGGGGTATATTTAACTAGTAAGAACATTATCCCCACTTTTCCCGATTCCATGCCCATTATAGAGAGTTGGATGGGCCTTATCCCTCAAAAGTTTTTGTTTAATAACAAATTTGAACCCTCATAGTTTAAATGCTTATAAAACTAAGCTTCAATTCCTTTAAGATTTTAAAATTAAACATTCATTATGCCCTCATTAATTTTAAAATTAAACACTTTATTTCATTCCATTATCTATTCCTAGTTTTGTTCTTGAACTGAATATATATATATATATATATATATATATATATATATATATATATATATATATATTACCTTTATTTGCTTCTTAATATTCATTGTAATCTTTTAAATCCAAATATTCTAATTCAAACAAATTGCATAATCGTCCTCAAATCAATTAACAAAAAGCATCGAAACCATGATATAATTAAAACCAAAAATGTTTCGAATCTGCATATTTATGTAACTTCTATGTGTTATGTGGCAGAGAGCGGATGCACTAAGGCTCCATAAGGACTAAGTGCATCCTCATTATTCAGGAAATTTTTTTAAATTTAGTTTTATATGATAAGGAAAAAATAAAAAAATTGTATTTCCATTATTAAAAAAAGAAAATTAAATTTTGGACTCAATTTTTAAATTTCTATATCCGCCACTGTAACGTGGTATTATTTTTCTCATGTCGAGTTCATTATTATTATATATGAAGATAGATTATTCTAACACTGCCACCAATGGACAGCAATTTTGATGCTTGAACAGCAATTACATGTTGTGTTGAAAATTTTGTTGATCCATAACCAGACATGCCATGGCAATATTTGGACACCAGAAGTGAAAATTGTCCAACAACTATTTGCAAATATTAGTCAAAATGCCTGTATATATTGTTTTATATTTCAGACCAATTATTAACCTACACTGTTTAGATGCTCAACACCTCAACTTGCAGGAGAAATAACCAAGCAAGTGGCTATTGAAACAGAATAATTCAAGTTAAGTTAATGATATTTTTTCATATAAAGGAGTAAATTATGTGTTTAGTACATAAACTATCAGTTTTTGTCCAATTTAATGCCTAAACTTACAATTTTTTCAAAACCATACATAAAATTTAGTTTTTATTTCATTTTAATACCAGCTTCAAAATTTAACGTTAAGTTTTAAAAAAATTAAAAGTTTAGGTATTAAAACAGACTAAAACTGATAGTTATGTACAAAACGAGTTAAGTTTTTAATGGTGGGTACTAAATGAAACCAAAATTATATATTAGATATTGTTTTGACAAAATTGAAAGTTTAGATACTAAAATATACCAAAATTAATACTCCAATTACTAAATACGTAGTTTACCCTAAAAAAACTCTTATTTAAAATAATAAAACATTTTATGTAATGATTTAATTGGTCCAATAGAGAAACTCATCTCATAAACGAAGCCGAAGCCCCCATAAATGCTAAAACACAAGAAGATTCCATTTCCGCCTCGAATTTGACCCAGAGTCGCACATCTTGTCACGTCGACCACAGAGCATCAGAACCTACCCTGCCTATTTATTGCAAATTTCGTAAAAATAATAATATAATGGGTAAATTCGTAAGACGCTTTTACCAAATATATATATATATATATATTTAAATATTATAATATTATCATTTTTAAAAATTGTACTGATCAAGTACCTTTTTTTGACATCACATTATCTATGAAGACACATTTCAAGGATCGCGGCTTCAAAGGTTTTCTTATCGCATCAGATTTTTTAAGACCATTTTATAAAAACAAAAATTTTTAAAAAGTTAAAAAAATAAAACTATTGGAACTAACAATGTAATTTGATACATATTAATTCTATGAGTTGAAAAGATTAATGACGTTAATTTATATAGATATTAGAGTATTTATGTTACGTTTCTTAACAATGTGAGATAAAAATTAAAAGGTGTATTATTTTTTATTAAAAAAAAATATTTTTTAACTTTTTTATATCTATTATAATAAATCCACTTATATACTATTGTTAAATTACATTATGTTAATATTTATTATTAAGGTTTATATTAATTAAGATTATATATTTTTATATGTTAATATATTTAAATACTTATTTTTTAATTATGAGTTCAAAAAGTTTAAATAACACAAATTAAAAATATTTCATTGACATATAAATGTATTATTTATTAAATATGATTAATTAGATTGTTATGTGATCCTAATTGTATGATTATATAACT